TGGAATTTTTTATATTTTTTTATTTTTTTTAGTTAATTCAAGTTTTGAAAATAATATTTAAAAAAAGAATTTTTGGATTTTTCCATTTATTTTGCATTTTAAAATTATTTTTAAATTTGGCTCACGGTCTCACAAAATTAGAATGGTCTCAAATGAACCTGAACATATATATATATATATATATATATATATATATATATATATATATTATAATGTGGATAAACAACTATCATACAAAAATATTATTTCTTCTGTCTCGTCTCGTCAATACGTTAAAGTGGTAATGAAAAAAAATATATAACTCAAATTTATTCTTGCATCTCAACTTTTGTTTTTTGTTTCTCAATCAAAATTATCTCTTTCTCTCTCTCTTTCTCTCTCTCTCTCTCTCTCTCTCTCTATATATATATATATATATATATATATATATATATATATATATATATATATATATAGGTTTAATGGATAATGAATAATTATGACAACATAGAACAAATTATCAAGTGACACATATCCATTTCTAGGTTTTTTGGGTTTCCAAAGTTAATGTATTTTCTATTGATACTTACCCTATACGCACACACACACACACACGGCCTGTGGTCGCTATGAATTTAGCGTCCTAAAAACCATAATAAAACTTTTTCCATTTTTAAAAAGGAATAAACCATTTTTTTCATAAAACATAAATCACCAAAACACTGTTTTACAACCATCATAAAATCATAATATAAAAAACGTAGTATCTCTCCAAATATATCGACCATTGGATGATATGTATGGTCCTGCCTTCGCTTGGACTCGATCCTCAAAAGTACCTGAAATATTTAAATCCATAATTGTAAGGTAATAATGCTTAGTGAGTCCCCCAAAATACCACATACAGCAATACACATACAATGCATGCACACCAGGCCTACAACACATGGATGGACCACCTCCTGAGCCTATAGCCCAGTACGATCGCTAGTGCTGGATCGCTCTCTTGAGCCAATAGCCTATGGTTGGAACGTTGTCCTGGGCCTACAATATATAGATAGACCGTACCCCTTAGGCCTATAATAATAACTAGACCGTCCGAGTTTCTTGGACTACAACACAGAGCAACTCTGACTCAACCCAACCATAATATGTCAACATATGAATATAACAATAACAAGAAAACAAATATAATCATAACAAATCTACCAATCTAACAGATTAATAGAACATATCAACATCCTAACATACAAATGATATATACTATAGTACAAAATATAGTGAGAAAATTTACGTCACAAACGAACATACAAAACCACGGTTCACGCGAAAGCAAAGACTGGCATTACGAACTACCTATACATCAGTTAAAGGCAAATCCCCAATATACAACCTAGAACCCTCATGTTTGACCAAAAAGTCAACTAAGTCGAAAATTCAGCGGTCGAGTCACCACGTCGTGGCCAACACCATGACCATGTCAAGGTGGCTACACGCCAAAACAATCGCGGTGACATTAACCACTACGTCGTGGCAAACAACTCGTCACCTCATGGGACGTGGTTCCAATAGCTTAATAGATTAAGCTCTTAACCTTTACTCTCCATAGCTCAAAAGCTTAGATTTGAGCCTTCCAAAGGTCTTGATGGATAAAGTTTCCAACTTTATCCTTTAAGCCATCCAATAAGCAAGATCTTTAACCTACGTTCTTAATGGATGCACTAAAGGAATGGATATCAAACTATGTCATGCAAGCCATCTTTCTAACCACCACCTTGGTCTAGAAGCCATAACATGCACTCAAGGGTTCTAGAGTTCACCCAAAATCTCCAATAAAGTCCTAATATTTTAGGTCAGTTTATGGTTTAATCCCAAATTAAATTTTGTTTTCCTAAAAATGACAGAATATTAGCTAAAACTTCGGAATAACCCTTTGTGTCCAGTTTCGCAGATTTAGCTGGTATTTTGACTTTTTTCGTTAATTCGTCAAAATATTGGGACTTTTTTATTAATTCGGCTAAAACATCAGAATAACCCTTTTATCAATATATTAAAAATAGTTTGTTTTTTTAATGAGTGTATTTTTTTCATTTTTTTATACAACGTTATATATTCAATTGTCATGAAATTTAGTAAAAAGTATCTATACAATCCAAACACCTAACAAAATTCATAAATTTGTCTGAAAACATTTACCGCATATAAAGTGCTCCATGCATGATTGCAAGACGAAATTCATACAAAATTATTGTATATTATCTTTTGATTTTAACATTGGTGTAAGTATTGTGATAACCACAAAACATACGTAATAATACTAATCAAGTATACTTAAATCTATTGGATAACCTTTCTCGTTAATAGTCATTTCCTTCTTCATTCGATTGGTTGTTTAAAACCTTAATCCATCTGCCCTCTTTCCCGCTCAGTTTCTTTCTATCTATTGCTGAATTGGGAAGGATGTGATAAGGGATACATACACACATCCCTTATATAGATCTTTGTCTTTCCTCTTTATGTGCGCACACATGCATAAAAGTGTCTGATTTTGAACGTGTGTGAAATGAGGGTATCAAAGTTCAAGCGAATATGTGTTTTGTGGTCTAGCCACGGCAAGACTAGCTACTACAAAGATGTTACTACTGTCCTTGGTAAATTGAGGTACACGTTTAATATGAGGGTGTTGAAGTGCATGATTCAATAGAAAATCGGTATTAACGAGAAAGGTTGAAATCAAAAGAAAATATATCTTCCAATAAAGCTTTTCAAACAAGTTTATGAAGTTTTGTTTGTTTTTTTTCGTAGTAAGATACTTTTTCTAAATTCCGTGACTTTAAAATTGAATATTATCTTTAAAAAAATGAAGAAAAAAAATACACTCATTGACAAACAAACAATTTTTAATATATTGATAAAAGGGTTGTTCCAAAGTTTTAGCCGAATTAACGAAAAAATCTCAATATTTTGACGAATTAACGAAAAAAACCGGAATGCTGGCTAAATCTGTGAAACCGGCCATAGAGTTATTTCGAAGTTTTAACCGGTATTTTGTCATTTTCTATAAACAAAATTTAACTTGTGATTAAACCGTAAACTAGCCTAAAATTTTGAAATTTTATTGGAGATTTTCCTAAAATATTTGACTGAAAATTTTAGTATTAGTTTATGTAAAAACTACTATATTAAAATTTAATTAATAAATTAGATAATAAGTTAGTCAAAAGAATTTAAGTGTGACGACTGAGTAAACCCATATAAACCAACGGTTCAGCTCAAGAGCTCCGGTTGTCGAGAGCTTTTTGAAAATATAAGACTAGCCATCAATTGTTCTAAGTTGGGCCACTTTTGGCATTGCTTGTCTTTATCCCACTTGTTCATGAAAACATATGGCTAACTCTTCAATTTGAGTTGCATCATAAAACTACAACTTCCGGCTACAAACCTACAAACCGGTTTTGCCAAACATAGCTTTCATAGTGTATAACTTACCAAATATCATTGAACACTCTCTTTGCTTATGATATATTAGTTTGCAATCGCCAGCCCATAAGACCCAAGGCTTTAGAGCCTTTCTTCCTAGGACTTTTATCTTAACTTGAGTGGTTGTCTACTAATGTCCATGTGTTGGTATTTTAAGTTGTAGTGATACCCTTTTTAGACTTTATGAATAATTAAAACTTTTGCATGCTATCATATACAGGGTTGCTAAACATTGTCGTACTTGTTTGAAACATTCGTTGTCAACTAAAAAATTTAGCTATACAAACTGCAAGGAAATTATCACTTAACGACCTTTGTGGGATAATAAGTTGTCCAATCTCTCTCACCAACAAGAACTTTATCCATCTCACTCAAACTTTAAATACTAACCAATGCTTCCTTCATTTTTTCATAGTGTTTATCAACCAGTTCTAGTTGCTTCACGATTAGGATATGTTATTGATCTGCAATCTTCTTCAACTTTTGAATCTCTGTCTCAAATCTGTCTTTATAACCATCAATCTGTGGTGAACTCTAAGTTTCAGAAGAGATGGCACATGGCTTGTTAGGAACAATGGAATTTCCATATGAACAAAGTTAATGAACTTTTCTCTTGCGATTATGTCCATCCACAACTTTATAAATCATTTGATTATCATCAACTTCTTCTCCCAACTTATCCGACAATGTTATAGTTGAATCAAGATAAAATTCATGCAAACTTTTTTAAAAATTTTGTCAAATAATTACAAACTGAGCTTACATTTGTGAAAACAGAATAAATGTTTTCAATCCATTTGTGAAAACAGAATAAATGTAACCATCTTCATCTAGTCTTTGATGCATCCAGCTTTGATCTATAGTGCTCATTTTCTAATACGTATTACAAATACATCAAAAATATGAGAAAATTGGTGTATTGAAGTTAAATATAAGCCAAAAATACCAAGAACAACTTCAGCAGCTACAATAGTTGCATTAAATCGTAGATACTTTTGTTGCAGCAATAATTTTCAAACTACACTCTGGGGAATTCACATTGATAAATCTGGACTTCTTTATGTTTGTAATTACTTCCTCTATCATTGGAATCTTTTGGTGAAATCGCCAATATCATGTTATGCGAACTATTTTGTTACCCATTTGATACAAAATCTAGGAGGATTTAATCGATGACGTCTTAACAAAGAATGATATTCAAATAATTAAATCCAGTAAATTAGCATACAAATCCATAGGGTATTAACAAGTTTATGCCTTGAAAAACAAAAGATGATGTTGGGCAGAAAACGAAGATGTTGGGCAGGGAGACGGTGATGAATGGAGACGGTGGGGGCGGTGCAATGCTGACTAAGGGAAACGGTAGGACGGCCGACGGTGGTGAAGATCGATGACGGGGGTGACCTAGTCTTCGCTGCACGTAAATGGCGTCGGTGGAGAGAGGTTAGGCGACAGAACCAGAGGAATTGAGAAGTTAGGGCAAAATTGGAGATTTAGAAATTACGAAGACTTTATGGTTTGATTGATCGAAGCAAAATTTGCTTTACTTTTTCACTTTTTGCTACGGAATAATCGCTAATGTTATTGAATATACACTTGAGACCATTTATTTCTTCAAAGTTCAAACACATGCTGTTATGATAGTACATGACATCAAACATAACATAGGAAGAAATAAAAGTCGAAACCATCAAATACACAAAGGAGCCATTAACTCTTCGACGTTGGATCATGACTCGTGAGACTATGCAAGTAGTAATATCTTGCCAATATGTGTACTGGTTTCCATAAGCTTATGAGCCTCTCCAGCTTCTGATAGAGGAAAGTAGTTATACACAACCGGCTTCACCTTCCCTTGTTCAATCGCTGGCCAAACATTCTTCTCCACTTCACTCACTATTTCACCCTTCTTTTCCAACCTTCTTGTGCGCAAACCAGCACCTGCATCAAAGAAATATATGCTTATGTTTCTACCCGATTTGGATGTCAATATGACAAAAATAAATGGCATGTGCATCAACAAACGTTGTTTTGGCATACATATATATATATATATATATATATATATATATATATATATATATATATATATGTATTACCTTGTACAGTGAGCCGTTTTGCAAGAATGAATGATATATTTGCTTCTGCTTTGACTCCACCCATGAAACCAATGATGAAAAGCCTGCCATCCATACCTAAGCTTTCTAGGTTTTTTTGGAAGTAAGCTCCCCCGATATTATCCAGTATAACATCCACACCTATTATTCCACTCTTCTATTGTTAGTTACACTTGAGGAACAAGATCCGAAGATTGATTTTACTTTACTTGTTGCAAAAAATATAAGATTTTGGACAATATAAAAATCCCATTATTTCTGCAAAAAAGGATCCCGTTTTCACAAAATAACACTACAAGTATGATGGTTTAAAAAGTCCACCACTATAAAGAAAAGGGCTAAACGCAAGATTGATTTTACCTTTTCCCCCTGTTTCCTCCTTTACCCTTGCAACAAAATCTTCCGTCTTGTAATTGATGCCAACATCAGCTCCAAGCTCCTTACAAGCCTTCAGTTTTTCCTCGCTCCCTAAATGAAAAAGTAACATTATTGTATGTTTTGATTGCAGATAATCATGGAACTGAATCAACATTTATAGAAAAAGAGGATTAATATTAGTTTACCTGCAGTAACAAAAACTTTAATGCCAAGGTATTTAGCCATCTGAATAGCAAATGTACCAATGCCACTTGAACCACCATGTATCTGAAAACCTTATAATATCATGTCTGCTCAGAGTGTAGCAGAAAAACAGTTTTTTCTTTTTTTCAATGCCGATTCTAGGGTCAGATGCCCAAAGAATTTGTGGTTAAATTACAATGAACCAAGGACATGTTAGAAGCAAAAAGAAATAACATTTGACATTACCAGAAATGTTTCTCCTGAAGATAGTTTGCTTGTCATGAAGACCGTCGACCAAACAGTGCATGCCACCTCCGGGAAGCTAGCAGCATCTTTCAAAGAAACACCGGAAGGGATAGGAAGAATTTGACCCGAAGGTACAGCTACTTTTTCAGCATATCCTCCACCACTTATCAGTGCACATACCTACACTTTCAAGATTCCCATATTATCAAACATGAAGAAGAAGAAACTTGACAACAACTGATTGAAGATATAGAAATTTGTACCTGGTCCCCAACTTTCCAACGGGATACGTTTTTGCCTACGGCTTCGATGGTTCCGGAACATTCTAGTCCTAAATACTCGCTCACTCCTTTTGGAGGAGTTTCCTTTCCTTGACGTATTAGCGTATCAGCTCCGTTGAGAGCCGTGGCTTCCACTCTGATCAACACGTCGTCATCTTTGACTTTCGGTTCTTCTACTTCTTGCAGTTTCAGAACTTCTGGACCTCCTGGAGTTGTGATGACTACAGCCTTCATAGTTTCCGGTTATGGGAAGTAAGTTTGGCCAGAAGAGGGTTTTTTGGGATAGCATCGATTATGAGGGGACAATTACAAAAACAATTTGAAAAGCGCCATTATTGAGCAACCCACTTTCGGCTAATTAGCCGCCAATAAGTTATTGGAGCAAATCAGCAAACGATCCCTATGGTACACTAAATTAACACTTTGGTCCAATTATTTTCACTAAATAAGCAACTTTGGTCCAATTTTCTTTTTCCCATTACATTGGTAGTCGCGTGTTTTAGTAAAATTAGCAACTTTGGTCCATAGCCCACATAAAGTCACTTTTCTACCATCATGTCATTTATTTTATATTTTCTTTTGCATATTTTATATTTTTATTAATATTAAATATAAATGGTCCATAAAAATCATCATCACCCTACTTTACTCCGCCCTTTCTACCCCCACTCTTTCTCTTTTCTTCTCACTACCCTCATCCATCATTGTTGATGTCCTCTTCTCTTCCTTTCCCAACACCTTTATGTCTAATAAATAATTGTTGAAATCCAATTTTCATTTCATCTTCGATCATCTATTAGGTCAAAGGTGAATCAATCTCCATAATATAACAATATGATCTTGGAAAATAGAAGACGAAAGAAATAATAAACATGAATCAATTGGAAGGGTAAGAAAGAGGTAGATATTATGAGAACAAACAAGATTGAAATGAAATCAATTCATTACTTTGATTAAACTCAAAATGAAGTGTATATACAAACAACATAAAAGGGAAAACCAGCTAATAACTAATAACAACTTACTAACTAACATTTAGTCAAATTACAAAACTGCCCTTATCAGTCAGAACTGTAATTAGCGCCCCTCAAGATAGAGTAAATATTCTTTAATCCCATCTTGAACATAAAAGGTATCAATTTTATAACTAGTAACAGTTTAGTGAATATATGGGCTAACTGATCAGAAGATCTAATCGGCATCAATTTGATTGTTTGGTCAACAATCGTATCTCTCACGAAGTGGCAGTCAACCTCAATGTGTTTCATACATTCACGGAATGTTGGATTCGTAGAAATTTGGATAAGAAAGAAACAATGCAAGGTGGGGGGGGGGGGGGTCCATGGTGGCAACACCAATAACTGATGGTGATGGTGGTGGTGGTAGTTGTTTCGTAGTTTCTCAAAATTTCACACATCCTTGTTAATTCAAATTCTTAGCTTCCTTTGATTTCTCATTTTCACTCACCCTTGTAGGTAGTATTTCACTTCATCCCGATTGAACATTTACATATTGTTCCTTAAAATTTTTATTTTGATTAAAGAATTTATTAAGTTTCATTCTAACATCAACTTTGATTACATTTGCATGTTCAAAAGTGATGATTCTTTCCTTGTTTCTTACTCATTAAGTTTGGGGAGACATTTCAAATAATGCACATTGGATGGTTACCAACAAGTTGTTCTCCTATTGTCAGTACCCTATTTCACTTGAATGCCTACGAACTTAGAAACGTACAAACACCTTACTTAAAACCCACATTTTGCAAAAATGCCAAGAAGAGAGTTTTCATAGTCTTATGTTCAAAATCCTATTATTTCATGCAAGAAGAGTTCAATTGAAGGATTTAGAGTTAAACCAACCATAGCCGGAAGGTAATGTGTTTTAATGATCGTTTAAATATTTAATTTAGTGTGGTTTGATTATTGACAATCGAAATTATTTTTACTGTTTGAAATGACATCCACGTCATGCAGGAGAAAAGAGAAAGAGCCTAAAACATACCTATGTATTAAAGACTCTGATGATGATGTTACTATCTTTTGTTTTTTCTATTACAAACCAAAGCCTTCAAGCCTAAGTCAAGTAGGTGTATATAATGATCCTTTCCTCAATGTATTATATAATGAAAACATGTTAAGGAATACATATTGAGATGTCAGATATGAAGATATATAATGATGATGTTGAACAACATGAAGAGCATAAACATATTAAATAAGAAAAATAAGTTCAAGTTTGTGTATAATACATGGTGCGGGATCTAAATGTGAAATAGAAAAGGATGAAACACATTGATAGAGAGTTGTATGAGTCCCCTACAACTAAGGTTTGCATTAACTAACTAAGTTGTAACATATGCTCACAAACTGTTGAATAGAATCAAGATCTCGTAATACCTCGCCTTCTTTATCTCCTCGTCTGCCACATACTACAGAACCAAAAGTGCCCTCTCCCAAAACATCGTGGTGATCTCAGCCACCATCTCAGTAGTCTGGTGGAGATCTTGAAACTCTTACGCTAACTGGTACACCTCAATCACTAGTGCAAGCTCAGCCTTGAACCTAGTCACAAAATCATCCCATAACATGGAATCAACATCCTTATCACCAACACCACCGATCTCGTACCCTGGCCTTCAAAAGACATGATGCAAGGCAGACCTTTTCCCCCTCGAGGAAATTGTCGGTGCAAAAAGCGTTAGCAACATTCACTAACCACCACTTTCTTGCTATCGGGTCGTTCGCCACGTAGTAGTCTGGATCCCCACACGCCCAGAACTCCCTGAAGTTAATGAACGTGCCCCTACCTGTTGGATTAGTGTCTAAGTCCATAACTATTTTGGTATGTACTTGACCCGATGGTGCATGGTCCTTTTGGGTTGCCTTCACCTAAGCAACTTGATAGGATGAATTATGGAGAGATAGGATTAAATATGATTTATTAATATATTATGGGAATAATATATTAAAGGAGAAATCATATTGTTTAATTAATATTAGTCAAGAATTAATAAGAATTAAGTTTGTGACTAAAAGAGATTAATTAAACTTAAGGGACTGGAATTGTAATTATAAGATAATTGCAATTGGGCTATGGGTTATCTTATTATATAAGGTTGGACGAATTCTATGGGGAAACCCATAAGAAATCATCCAAGGTCCTTAAATAAAGGAGTTCGCAGGTTGCTTAGGGCTTAAGCATCCAAATTAGGGTTTCCTTGTTAGATAATCCTAATAGCCTCGCTATATATATAACCTTAAGCCCCAAAAAGGGGGACAAGCTTCTTTCTAGGGTTTTGGACGGTTTTGGGCAGCCTCCTTCTCTTCTCATCTTCATCCTATTGCTTTTGGTGTTTGTGAACCATTAGAGGAGTGACACTTGTGACTCTAAGCTTTCTAAAGTCATTACAAGAAGGATTTGTGATTGTTATTGCTACATAACAATCAAGGTAATATCTTGAACCCATTAATATGGTAATATCGATTATCATGATCTAGAATTAGGTTTATAGTCTTGGATTAATTGCATGTACAATAGAGAAACCTAGATCCAAGCATTAGGGTTTGTATGAGCACATAGGATGTTCTTATGACCAAAACTCATCAGTGGTATCAGAGCCTAGATTGGTTTCTATTGTATTGATGCATTATGTGTTTATTCAAGTTGCAAAAATCGTTTTTGGCCAAACTGCCTGATGAACTCGGCGAGTCCATATGGGTACTCGGCGAGTTCGAGCGTCAGAAAGAGGGGATTTCGGGATTTCTTGCTGTTTTTCTCATGGATAATTGCCTTATCTGTTTTAGATCAATAACATCTGATTTTAATCAATTTTATGAGTATATCCTTGATTAAACAAAAGATAATTACCAATTGATTAGATAATAACTTCCTTATATGATTAAAGTTGATTATTTGTATTAATTGGGTAACGTATTTTGCAAGAAATTGAAATTAGGTCAAATATAGATAATGATGAAATTAATTGTTTAATTTGTATTATTTGTTATTTGATCCTTGTATTATGAAAAGTTTCAATTTTCCCCTTTAGGTTTTATAGTTTAAATTTAAACTCAAAAGTTTATTTTTGAAATTTAAATAGTTGAAACCCTAATGTTTTGAAAAGGTTTCAAAACTTGCTCTCAAGTTTCGGAATTTAAATTTTGATTAAAAAGTTTAATTTTGATGTATATTTAAATTCTAAACCTAATGTTTTGAAATGTTTCAAAACTTGCCCTTACGTTTTTGAATTTAAATATTGGTTAAAAGTTAATTTAGAAATGTTAAATTCTTAAACCCTAGTATTGTTTTTAAAAGTTCAAATCACACCCTTATGGTTTTATTAATTAATTAAGGTGTGTAATTAAAAAAGGTTTAATAAATCCATAAAAGTTTAGGATTACAATTTAGTTGAATTAAAGGTATAATTGTTGACTTTGACCACCTAGTATTTTAAAAGTGTAAAATACACCCTATACTATATATAACATTAAAAGTCTAACATTATATATATATGTATGAGTAAAAGTTAGTCTTACCGTTAGTAGGCCTCATTCACGAAGTTGGTCTATAAGGGGTGTTTAAGGAAATTGCCTATAATATGGCGATTGAATGGGTATCCATTCTTACCCACCGCACTCTTGACTAGTGGAGGGTCGTTAGCCGAACGGGTAGGATAGGACGAAACCTTCCATTATAAGTATAATGAAGTACAAAAGTAACTAAATATTTTTTACAAATTCCCAATCTTAGTTACTTAGGCAAAAGTGAATTGATGCAATTCCATGAAATTACACTTTGTGCCCTTGCGAAGACGTTAGTGGAGCGTGTGTGGTTTACCAGCTCACTAAATGGTTCTAAGCAAAGGTAGCAAATGGTGACTCAATGTTTGTCATAGTTCGGTGGAGCGTGTGTGGTTTATCGACACATCGAATAGGTGATCGTAACATGTGGGGGCACCATGTAAGTTTGCATGGTTATTCACACCCGCTTTGTGATCCTCGGCATCCCAGTCACAAACAAGAGGGGCATATCGAGATTTAAACATGCCATTGAAATGTTCAATGAATCTCAAAGGATCTAGGATTTTTCATAGATTTAAAAACTTAAATTTCTTATTTGTTTTTCATGGTGAAAATTAGTGAATCGTCATTCACTTACCTTCAAATATTCTGCAACTAGATTACAACATCCCTTTTCTAGGTTGTAGCGTATTGTGTTGGGTCCTAGCCTTAATATCTCATTTGGGTGAATTATTAAGGACTCAATCAATCAACTAACTTGAATTTGTTTTCTCCCGTTTTGTAGATGTCAAAGTTTGACAACTATGGTCTTCCCAAATCCCGTGGAACAAGCATTCCAC